TATAAAACTTGCCTGATGCCATTCAATACTCCCCTCTCCCTATCAAAAAATAAAATCAAAATTATAATTCCAAACCTCAAGTAAATGGATGTCCTGGTCCCTTTTACTTTTCTAGTGTGTGGGCATATGCTGTGTATACATTGCAGCACCTCCATTTTTTTTACATGTGTGATGGATTATAAACCTCTCAAAACATTGGGACTTCAAACTGTGTGTTCTGACTGTGTGACATATAGTCCTGAACTCTCAAAAAACATACACAACACTCACCAAACAAAAACAGCCTAGCTGTTACAGTGAACGTATATTATCAAGCTTCTCCAAGTAGAGCGGAACCCCTCTTGCCTTCTCCACAAGTGGCTATGGAGGAGTAGGTTGCTAATGGTTGGACTCAGAACACAATGAAGAGGATGGCACATACCAAGGTGGAGTAGCATAACATCGAGTGCCAAGGGGGATTCTGGGCTGCATGAACCCAGTGTGTAGCTATTGCACTGCTGAAACTATATGTAGTTATCCTCTAAAAATGGCAAACACACACAAAAAGGCTCTTAATTCTCTTTAACCATGATAAATACTCCAAATAGAAGCAAAGCCTATGGCCCTTAATTATTCCCAGTTGTTCTTATTGCACTAATATAGGACTGGTACAGAGGGTCTCGTTGTTTCATTATTAAATTAATGAAAAGATGATCCTGCTTTCCTACTGGTCTTTGACACGTAGGAAAAGACTATTTCTGCATACAGCTCACTGTGTCTATGGCAACATGTAGTTCAACTGCCACAGAGCCAATTAATTATTTTTTGTTCGCATTTGTATATATTCGTAGCTTGCAACAGTCTCCATTTCCTGGTAGTTAATGATTGGCAAGTTCAACTTAAGGGCCTGCAGCAAAGTGACGGGCACTTGACTCTTCCAGCTGGTCATTAGCTGTGAGGAAATGTATGAAGCATCGGTGTAAGTAATAAGTAGTTCCTCATCAATCCAGAAGTTTAAATTCAGGTTCATATTGCTGAAGCAGTTACTGCAAGCCTTATATTGTATTTGGTTCTAATTTGGCAGGGTTGGGAGGGGGTGGTTGTGACAGAAGATTCTGGCTATGAACACCATATTAGTGATGCCCCAGCGAGGAAAATATTGTCCGTGATAGCAATGAGGAGGAAGTAAAAATGAACACTGTGTCTATCCCAGAACATTCTGGAGTGAGTCTATGCCAAGGAATTAGAATAAGGAATGGGAGGTTTAAGATCTCTTGCAATGGAGTTACCTGCTACAATGTCCTACCCCAAACAATATCTTTGAGGGGAATATATGGTGACCTAGTGGATAATACAAACGTTGCCTCGATGTAACAACATTTCTGTTTGTTCCACGCTGAGGTCCCCTGTCCCCACATGGCTCCTCAGATAAATGCATATGTTGATTGTAGCATGGAAACAATTTGGGACCACCTGCTACAGCATGGAGGTCCCTGAGAATGCAACAAACCAAAAGGATCTGGCACTAAAAATGTAAATTTTGGAGGGGGCGGGAATCAATCCAGAAACTCTCACACCATAATATTAATGCTTTAAATTGTCTTATGTGTTCCTGTATTGTAACAGTTAACTGCTTTTCCTAATCTCTAGTTTTCACCCCTTAATGGTTTCCTTTTATTTCATTCAGATTAAACTCATGCATGTAATAAATATGTTATCAACATTTTTCCATGCATTGCAGTGTGTACAATCCTTTTTCATATAAATTACATATGTGATAGCAGAGTAATGGGACTGATTTCCTCTCTGAGGTCTGGATTAGGTCAGGTGAGATTGCAGAGATGACATTTAAAACAGAAACAATGTGTGAAGGGTTATATATGAAAGAGCTTTCTTTATTCTGCAGCTTCCCAATAGCCAAACAAATGAATAACTAATTCACTGTAACATCTTCATTTGACATTCTCAGCTGTTAAATATGTAAGTTCTCAAAGCTGAGGTTAGTCAGACATCTAACACATGTTAATGAACCAACTTAGTTTGCTTCTGCAAATGCCATTAAAAAAAAAAACCTTTATCCATGCAGCATAGGTTAAAAAGCCTGATGCCAAGCTCCAGCACTGAACAATGAAAAAAGCAAGGTAAACAAAACGAAGACATGAAGATAGAAAAGGAGATGAAGTCCCAGAGAGGAACGATCTTCCTTTGCAGAAGAGATAATGATCAGGGATTCAATACACGAAAATGGAGAGAAAAGGGAACAAAGAACAAGAAAACAAAACTAAAGGATGTCCTAATCTTCATGAGCGTTTAATAGTGTTTATATCTCATTTTTGAAATTTCATTTGGTCTTGTGCTGTATAAAGAAATGATGGTGTAGAAAAATACATGTAATCTTCTAATCATATTCTTTCCTAGACTAGGGATTCCCACTTCTACCCCACTAGTAATACCATTAATGACATTATCTGAAGATGCTATCTTAGGAGGGGTAACCTAAGTGTCATATTTTCACATTTGCAAGCTCCACCTTAAATGAAATTGCCCATTCTGCTAAATTATGTATTGAGATTACATGTTACATGGACTATTATTGATCAGGCTGACTGCATGAAACTCATTTCACTTATGAACTAAGAATGAGTTAAATCATAAATGAAAGAAACACACAGAAAGTCAACTGACTAGGACTGTCTGGACTGTCATTACACTCAAGGAATGTGTTGCCACTGAATGCAAATCATATGTAAAGATGATTATTATTCTGATCAGCTCTTTTCAGGGTACAGTCAGCAGAGAGCAGAGTTAGCTTGAAACTGCAATAAGCAATTAGTAAAGAGAATGAGCAGAATTTTATTTGGTTATTTCAAAACAAGTTTCTGTACATGGAGCAACGACCTGTAGTGTTAAGATACATGGGAGGTATTTAAGTAAAAAGACCTTCTGCAAAGGACTGTTCATTATCATCAGACTTTAGAGTAGCACTGATGCCATTTAGAAGTAACTCTATTATTAGAAGCAACTAGTGAGAAAATGGGCAGAATTTCATTTGCTTAAGTCAAAACAACTTTTGATTCCTGGGCTAAGTAAGGCCTGGGGCATCAAGATAAAATAAAGTATTCTGAGAAAAATATTTTCGGCAATGGACTCATTATCAACAGGTATGTGTGGGCAGTGCTGTTAATGAAAGTTGAATTTACATGCAGGCACTGAGTCTATAATTTAACTGCTATATCTTGCCTGAAGTGGACACTATTCCTTTATTTCTAATAGGTTCTGAAATGGGAAGAGGCCAAATCTGTACACCAATAAGTCTCCAAACCAAAAGTAGTGCAGTCACAAAGTTCAAGTTATATAAGCAGCACAGCCCTGTATACATCCAACATGGGAAGAGAAGTTAATGTCATTACAGAAAGGAATGAAGTATTACAGTGGATTTTGTTTTGCTATCATCTCAATAAACTAAAAATGTTCTAATTTAAAAAAATGGAGCTTACACATAAACTGCTTATATATAAACTATGATCTGGTCAGATGCACAGTCTACTTTTTACTGATTTAAAGACCTTTTTATGACAGCATATTTTCCCCTCTCTCCCTTTTTTGCCCCAGTTGGAACTTTTCTTGACTCTAGATACTTTTCAACCCCAGTGGCTTATTTCGAGCTTGGTGGACCACCTCCATTCTTTTCACAATGTTTAAAAATTCCTTATTTTTAATTTAACATTACAGTCATGCTATTTTTTTCCCCACCCACTCCATTATTTCCTTTCTGATCACATACATACCCTGCATTCCATCTCCAGCTTCCCTAATTTTACTTTGACCTTTACAGATTATTCCTGGTGAAGGCCTCATAGTTGAAACACCACAGATAATTTTGTCTTCTGTTTTTGGCATGTATTAGTAAGAAACATTTTTTCTTTTAGCAGCCCTATGTGCAAATATAACACCCTTCTTATATTTTTATCCACAACTGAGTACTCATTGATTTTAACTAAAATGAAGTCAACAGAATATGTCCAAAAGCTGAGTGATGGTGACATATCTTAACTTCCTTATGAAAAGATGATTCAGCCATATTTTTGTTCTAGTGCAGGAAGTGACACTTCCAATCCCCTATTCTTGTTTCTAATGATGGATAAGTCTCATGAAGTTGAGGTGTTTTGTTCAGATAAGCAGCCAAAGTTTGGATTCTTATCTGAATCTTATCCAAACCTGCACAAACTGGGCTAGAAGTCAGGTACAAATATGATGTTTCACAATGTTAAAAAAGAAACAAGAAAATACAGAAGTGCAAAGATGTACACTATTTTAACAAATAATTCGAAGTTCAAGAAATGGTTCATTTCTCATTAAGTTAGGGCCAACTTTCTCACAGGGCAAAAATTTGAATTCATTTTTATTTTTATCAATTCAGGCACTGATCCCTATTTGGTTCTTGGTAGAAAAGTAGACTTCTAGTTATCACATGCCAAATTGACATTGTTCTATCTGGGAATCATTAATACAGCTTGCTAGTTTTTATTTGCCAAATAACACGTTAGCTGATATTTGCTCATTTTGTGTGGGAACACAAAATATTCAGCAGCTCAATATTACAAAAAAGATGATGTCTTCCTATGTGTTTGAACACTGCCTAACATATTTTGGCCCCATTACTAACAGTAATAACAAATTCAATTATAATTTTAAGTGAAAATGGTTCTATTAGAAAATAGTAAGTTGCATCAAAACATCATTGCAGTTTAGTTCAGACTTAGTTGAAATGGCTGGAGAAACCATTAAAGATGATGGGATGTCAAGTTTTCTAGTCACTAGAAAATCGACTAAGAAAAAAGTGGCATGGCTGTGTAGCTCCACATTTAATAATAAAGACACTATTATTAGCTATCACTCAAATATTGCAGATACGGAGAGGACTGGGCAAATTTGAATGAAAAACTTATGTAAATGATAAAGCAGATACAAGTTTTAATTTTTTTTAATTAGTCTACAAAAGCAATAAAGTTCTTTCTTACCCTGGACCTTTCCTCCAGTTTTGTCATCATGACCACAGTTGCACCCCGTTGTTCCCACATCATTCTCCAGAAATCTCCAAAGGTTTCTGGGAGAGCCCCTTGTGTTGCTATGTAAGCATTCTGCTTTCTGTAACCATCTATGTAGTTGGCATTGACATAGTCACTTCCAGGTATGCCTGCAAAGCAGGAAGAATGAATACATTTGAGAAGTCAGATCACATCAGACACTATTCCTGAAACATTCTGTTACAAAGGTGAGCACGGGTCTCTCCATACGTTTTAATGAGTATATTTGATACTTGATAAACAAACAATATAATAACATTGTGATGTCAATTGGGATGGAAGAAGTGTTTAGCTAGGGGCAGATTCTTGCCTTCGCATCAAACTTAAGTTAGAGAACCTCTTTTTTACTTAGATTGCAGAAGCCAACTAGAATATATGCTTGTATTTATTCCAGACAGTTTTGGTATCTTTCTGTGAAAGTGGTGATCAATCAGTCAATAAAATGTGTCAAAAGAGACAAATGGGCTCTCAAACTCCAGCTGTCTCTTGTCCCCACGTTTCCTCTCCTCTCTCCAATGCAACCTATCACTTGATATTGTTTTCCTACAAAATTTGATTTGCAAAAGAGAGAAAAAGCAAACAAAACTACTATACAAAATAAACTCTCTAAATTTATGAGGAAATCATCATCAGCTGCACAAAGCTCAAATGGACAAATTGCCTGTGCGTGACTTTTGGGGCTTGTATGGGCAGAATGCTCTACAATAACCGCACTAATGTGGCCTGCTATGCTTCATGACCTATACAGGCATTTTGGCCAGTGACCACATGCAGTTTGTTGATTCAGTGGCCATGCTGGACTGCCCAGAAACTCCCTTGCACATTGTCAGGAAAAGACCAACTGTGGAGCACTGCTCCATTTTTTGCAAGGGGTACAGAGGTGGTTCTGTTGCATTTCAGATCTTGTGTATCCTTCCTGGGGGGAGGACAAAATTTCTTCACCCAAAGGAAAATTATGGGCTCCCATGGTTTCATTCTTTACATTTTTTAATATGGCAAAGGTGCTAGTTTCAGACTACTATGATTGCTGTTTGTACTTCTCCCCATAATTGGATTGCAGTAGCTAAGTATTGGCCTTCTTTTAGGAAAAAGAATATGGAAACCAAGTGCAAAAAAATCATGGAACCTACTATAACATATGTGTATGAAGTAAGCACCTTCACAAACCTGAATAAAAATTAAATACATATGTAACAAGGTGGAAGGTCTAAGACCCTGCAGTCCTGTTCTGTTGAGTCACCCTAGGCGTAGGTACTAAAACTCTTTATTGAGATTCAGAGGTATTGCTGTCAAGTCATGCAGGCATGAGGGTCCAATGAGCTCCATTAAAGGGGTTAGCATATCTCTTTGAGCAGAGCAAAAAACTGAGATAGCACAGAGGAAGTCCCAGAGGTACTGTAACAATTGGGCCTCCATTTTAACTTAATTGTGAGCCCAACTGTAAGAAGTGAGTGAAAGGTCATAAAATACCTCAATAACTTAGAATAATAAATGTTGATGGAAAAAAGGTGCAAAATGGAGTCAGAAAGACTGAATTAGTCCAAACAAAAAGGCCTACCTGATATAATTCAAGGGTAGTATAAAGACCATGCCGATAAAGAAGAGAAGTGTGGGACCGGAAATCAATGGCCCAGAATTGTTGGACAAAATAATGAAATGGGCTATTTCACCCATTGCTCTTATGGGGGTTCTTAAAAGAAAATACTTGGGAGAGAAAAACACGCTATCAACTACTTTGGATGGGGAGACAGGTGGACCAGAAGAAGTAAGCTTCACCACTGCGGCTGACACATCCTCCGTCTCCTAGGATCCACTGTGACACTGCTGGCCCTTTGTCATCCTGGTCCTGAAAGAAGTCCTGACCAGACGGGGTCAGAGAGAGGACCCAGATGACATCTGCCACCACTACCGGCTTTGATTAAATCCTGAACCCCACTTGGGAACCATGAAACTTTGATTCCTGCTGTCACCCCCCGCCCCATTTGTGTGTCCTTTTCATTCCCCACCTTATTTCTTCTTTGTCCGATATCTCTTTTTTGCCTTTCTGTTTAATAAGAGACTGGCTTAGCTGGCCAAGGCTGTATACTTTGCAACAGTGCTGTAAGACTGTGACCAACAAGGCAGCTAAAAGCAATGCCCTACATAGCCCAATGTTGGTACCAGTTTGCTATGTCTTGCAGTGGTCGATAAGACTGTGCGCATGCTGTGGCTGCATATTTCTGCAGTAAGGTTGCAAGTGAGAATCTACACCAGAGGGAGAAGCTGCATTTTCTACCTTTGCTGTTCTTCTCTCTACTTTCTTGTGTGTGTATTTGTCTTCTATAAAATGGGATCAGACTTTAACAACAGCATCTCCAGCATATCTCAACTAACTCTTTTTCTCAAAAGTTATTACTATCTTTAATACCAGCTAAAAAACTGTTAGGGGGAGGAGAAAACTCTCTCTCCAGCTAAAGGGAAAGAGAACAAGGAGTGTTGTTAAACTAAAAGACTTACTCAATACTTTACTTTTCAAACACTTTAGCTCTTTTTCCTTCTTTTTAAGAAAAGATTAAAGAATTTTTAATGTGTGTTTACCATGGAACTAAGATGGCTGACGTCTCTGTATACCAAACCCCGAACCTTGTTTACAACTGTTTAATGTTGTGCAATGACTGGGTGATGTTAACACATTTGACTCTTTGGGCCCATTTCTGCCATCAAAATTGATATAACAGAGGGAAACCAGATACTGAGGTAATAGGTGTGGTTTAAAACACAGGTAGACAAACACCCTAGTACTCTGGGAGGAAATGTAGTTTCAAAGGTGTGTTTTGTTATTGTTTTGAGTTGCCAGTGAAGCCAAACTCTAAGGGCTCAATTCTGCACCCACTGAAGTCAAAGGCTCCCATTAACTGCAAAGATGTCATATCACGATTTAACTCTGGGACAGTGTGCTCTTCTGAAGACTGTTTAGGGACTCAGCATATTCATACCATACTTACAGTGTCATTACCAGAGAGACAATGTGGGTGAGGTAATATTGTTATTGGACCAATTTCTATTGGTGTGAGAGAGTTGGTGTCATTACTGTTTTGTAATTGATGACTTCGAGATCCTAGAGAGACTGGGATTTGGAGCAGCTCCTTTTTCTCTATTTTTTTCATTTTTGTGTGGAAAACTATTGTATTTTTGGAAATGTTGGCTGGAACATATCAAATTGTGCATCTGAATAGAATAGTATGAAAGTAGAGCTAAGAGTCTTCTGAGTCAATTTTCTTTTGGCAGGAATTACCGGTTTATGTTTTTATAATTATGCTAGATAATACTTAATCCTGCCTGGAGAGCAAAGGACTAGATTAGAAGACCTCTCATGGTCCCTTCCAGTCCTACGATTCTATGATTCTATGTCAAACTACTAGATACACAGCTATCAGCGGCACTAACTTTCTAATCTGCCAGGGGGTGCTCAATCCGGTTCTGCATCAGGCCCCTCCCCGACTCCATTCCTTCCCCGGCCCCCCTGCCTTTCCTCCCACTCCACCCCTTCCCGCCCCCGCTCCACCTCTTCCAACAACAACTAGCTCTTATATAGCGCTTTGCCATCACTAGATCTCAAAGCGCTTTACAAAGTATCTATTTGTGAAGAATCTTCCAATCTATACTTCAGGATCAGAGTAGTCAAATCTAAATCTTCTTATTTATAATGGAGCCTCTCTCCTTCCAAAACTCATGTCACACCCATCAACAGGCACATGTGTGCCCCTGTCCCTCCACAGCTATCCTAAGAAACGATTAGGTAAATTAGACAGACTATTCTGAAATAAATGGGAAATCTGAATGTACAGTGGAGTAATCTCATTATCAAATCTTTCCTTTTGCTACTTATAGAGATTTTTTTAATGTACCTATTTTTTTCATTTCAGCACCCAATTAGCATTGAATAAGGTTACTGACCCCTTACAATGAGACTAATTAAAATCCAATATAATCTGGAAAAGACTATAAAACTATGGATTATATGTTAGGATAGTCTTAGTTTGGCCAGTAAAACTAGCCTTGGAGGCTCAAGGAAGCGATATAGATTTTTTTTAAAATCTGTGTAAATAGCATTTGGTTTAACTGCAGCTATAATTTCAATTTGTCTATATGTGTATGTGTGTGTGTGTGTGTGTGTGTGTGTGTGTGTGTGTGTGTGTGTGTGCACACATGTAGAAGGAAAGTGCTGACTAAATATCTCAGGACAGGAAAAGACCTCTAACTTCAGAGCTGAAGAGAGAACAAGCAGCATTCCCAGATCTAGAAGCACCCAGGGTCACAGGAAGGCCTACTGACTATGCCTTAGAGCTGGTTGAAAAAAAATTGTCACACTTTTTTCCCCCCTACCAAAACAAAAATTTTCCTGAGAAAATTTCTGCTTTCATCAATTTTTTTTTCAGGTTTTTGATTAAAACTGAACATTTTTTAGTGTTAAAAGCTGTTTGGTATTTAGTTTTTCCATGAAAACCTGAAAAAACATTAAAAATGGGGAAAACAATCATTTTATTTGAAATTTTCTATATGAAATAAGACAGTTTTCCTGACTAGCTTTACCATGCATTGAAATGCCTCAGATGGGGTCAGAACTGGCATAGAATGATCCCCTCAGCTGTTTATTTTACAGTGCTCACCATAACACTAAAAGGCACAATAAACTGGATGGGGATGTAGGGAGGAAAGGGAAAAGATGAGATTTCTCCCCTAACTTCTTACTGTCCTGATGGTGTCCATCCTAAATATAGATGCAAGATTCACTTGTGGCGTATTTCCCTGTCCCCATCAATTTCTTTATTGTGGTTGCACCTCTTGGCTAGCAGCTTTTCTTTCGCAATGATGATTCTCTTCTCTTTCCTTTGTCCTCAGTAATTTTTTTGTTGACTGCTCTTGGTTGTTTTCAGGATAATGGGTCATTTTCTTGATGCTCACTTACTTCATCACAGACATTTTAAAAAGTCATGTGTCTTGAAGGTCACATCATGTGACTCCTGGTTATTTTCCCTAGTAAGTCTATGTTGTGTGCATGCCTGAAAATCATCAATTCCATTTACAAAGGATGGGACTTGGGGTTCAAAAGGCTCTATCTGACTTGATT